ATTTTAGTAGCTTTTTCAGGTGGTTACAGATATTTCTCTTTGATACTACACCAAAACTTGACAAGTGGTACTTTCTTAAAAGTTAATTATAATAAGGAATCTGAAACTATATCAATGAATTTTTCATAATCTATTACATTACAATCCAATGGCCATCTTGCACTTTGAATGGATTTTTTTTTCTCAGGTGTGCTTTTGTAACATTGTTCATGCCTAAGGAGCTCTGGTGGCAATGTGCCTGAGGCATTTGACTGCTAACCAGAAGGCTGGTGGTTCAAACCCACCGGCTACTTCTCAGAAGGCAGACTGGGCAATCTACTTCCATAGTGATAACGCCTTGGAAACCCAAGGAGGGGTTACTATGAGTCAGATCTGACTTGATAGCAATGAGTTTGGGGTTTTATGGTTTTTTTTTTTTTTTTTGGTTATTTGGAGAAATAGTGGTTTATTGAATTATGCAAATACTCCAAATGTTAACACATTGACTCTACAATATCAAAAAATAGCATTTGTTAATATAATCACAAATTCATCAGAAAAGAATTCTGATTTTATATCGAAAGCTAGAATTTTTTATCCTTGGCAACAAATACTGTCAATTGTTTTCCTCCCAAATGGCAGGCTCATTTTATTCATTTTGAAATGGCAGGCTCATTTCATTCATTTTGAAAAACTATCTGCCAAATAAACAAGTCCAAATGGTCCTATCAGGTAAAAATAGTGCTCCTTGGGGGGAAAATCAAAGTGGCTAGTGCAGCTAGCAAAGCAGTCACACAAATGCTTTTGCTCAGAACAACCATCATCCTTCACTTTGCAACAGGGTTGCTTTATGTGTACCGTCTTGCTCACAAAAGAAAAAAAAAAAAAAAGATCTGGATCCAAATTTTATTATTCATTTAATAAAAAGAATGTTTTCACTGCTTCATATTAAATGAAATTAGCATTTCTTTAAACTGCACGTGGTGCCCCTTCGTTCATATTAAGACAAAAGCAGTTATACCATCGATCCAAATGTTAACAAAGTGATAAAAAGCAAGTAATGTCTTAAGATTCTTATCAAAATAGTTTTGACCTCCTGAATCCCACAAAAGGATCTCAGAGTCCCCCAAAAGTCCCAGATTACACTTTGAGAATTGCTGCTCTGTAGTTACAGGGCACTTCGACATATTGGGACCATCCCCTTTACCTCACTGATGACTGCCCAGCCAAGGAAGGTTTAGACAGATCTCCCTCAAGCCTGTGGAGTGGTGAGGTCTGATTTAGTTTAGGGAGTTGCTAGAGAAATTTACTAAATTTAGACTAAATTTCTGTCTAATTGACATTAAAACTTCGAAGTCATTTTTTCTTTTATAAGTGACTTGAAAATTTTAATGCCACATTTGTATTTTGACTTGACTGCCCAACACAAAAACTTACAAACTTTGACCATAACTACAACAGATGTTTCCATTACAAAGCTTGGAAAAAAGGCCACTAGTATTCTGGTCCTGTTGTGAATACAACACTGTTCTTCAAGCTTACTTTCCATGTGTGAGAAAAACGTCTTTTTACTTTTCTCCCATTTTCTACTATTTTTCAAGACAAATTGTTTGTCTCTAAGGACACTTGTCGTCTACCACAAAGTATCCAATTCACATCTTGTGCTGTCTGGTCTTCTCTGCATTTTGTCTTTTAGGGGTTGTTCTCCTCCCCTCCTTTTTTTCCTTATGGAGCTGGAAACCAGGCAGTGAGAGGATGACAGGTTCTAAAAGGCCACTTTTGAATAAAGAATTGTACTTGTGGATTTTTTTTTTTTTTTTTTTAATTGTGATTTGGGTGAAAGTTTACAGAGCAAGGGAGGTGGGATGGAGCTCCTCATGGCCAGACCTGTCAGAAAGTTCAATTATCTTTACCACTCAGATTCTATACTTATACATAAGAGTTCCCTGAGTGAATAATAAACTGTGGTAGAAAAATGCAAATCTCTTCTGCACCTTTAACTCACCAGAAGGAAAGGTCCCTTAATCAGAAAAACCACATCCACTCTTATCTCTCTTTTCTTTGTTAGGAAATTATTTTCAATGTAGTTTAGACAAGGTAACAGTAAAGCTTTCTTTTTCCTAAAGAAAGAAGTAAAATAAATAAGAAAGAAAAGACTAACTAGTAATGTTGAGTGGGTTCCAGATAATGTTATCTATGCTTTAGTTGTCAGGAATTTTCAGTTTTGCACGTTGCTGCTTATTTAAACTCCAAGTGCCACTGTTTGCTCAAAGCAGTGACGCCGATTGCATTTTTCTCGTGGACTCTGTCTGCCAAGGTTGATTTATACTGTAGCAGATGCAAGAATACTCTGGTCTCTTTTTTCATACAGGCTTTGAGAGGTGAGTGATATTTTGCTATTTAAAGAATTAAGCCTCTAAGAAATCTCTATATTTCATTATTTAGACCGATCTACTCTTTGTGGGAGAAAGACGCTGTTGGGCATCTTTTTTCTTTAGTCTTCCTGTCCTTTCGTGCTTGTGTCAAGTTTCTCATGATTTAAAACAAATACACAGAAACCAAACAGTCAGTGCAGAATAATTGCAGGCTTTCAGTCTTCAGCATGCCCAGCCATCACTGAACTAACCCTGAGTTCTTGAAAACAATACTGAATCTTACATACTGACTTTCCAGGAGCCGAGGGGTCAGTTGAACCTACCTTGTTTGGTGCTTGGCGGATAATGTAGCCAGGTTTGACGTGCTGCAGACACTGGCGTTTTGTTTAGAAACCTATTTCTTGTGAGTTTCTGCTCTCTATTCTACACACACAGAGTGATTACAGGCTGCAGAGTGAAAAGCATTAAAGCTGTTTATGAAATGTTCATAAAGTTTAGAATAATAGGAGTGTGTGTGTGTGTGTGTGCGTGTATGAAACAAAATAATGTGTATGGTAGGGGTAAACAGTACACAGTCTTTTTTTTTTTTTTTCCACAGTCCCATGTCACCCTCCAGAGTTGAAGTCATGGAGATGAGCAAGGAGGGAGCCCTTTCCTCCAGCTGTGCTTACATTTCATAACTCACTGCTGTCGAGTCTGATCCGACTCATAGCTACCCCTCCTTGGGTTTCTGAGGCGGTATCACTACAGAAGTAGATTGCCCTATCTTCCTTCCAAGGAATGCCTGGGGGGTTTGAACCACCAGCCTTCTGGTTAGCAGTCAAATGCCCTAGGCACTATGCCACCAGAGCTCCTTACACTTAATTGTTGTTGTTGTTATGTGCCATCGAGTCGGACCTGACTCATAGTGACCCCTCCTTGGGTTGCCGAGGCAGTATCACTATGGAAGTAGATTGCCCAACCTTTCTTCCGAGGAGTGGCTGGTGGGTTTGAACTGCCAGCCTTCTGGTTAGCAGTCAAGTGCCTTAGGCACTATGCTACCAGAACCCCTACACTTAATTAGTTACCCTCATTTATCTGATGCCAGTTTATTGTTGCACATAAAATACAGATCCTCAGGTGTGTAGGGGCAAAGGGGTTGATGACACAGGATCTTATGTAATTAATTTTAGAACCATCTACATGCCAATATAGACATTCCCTCGTGCACGCAAAAGAAAGATTTATTTATTTATTCTTGCTGTCTTTCAGACTTCTAGGAGAAAAGCTTTCTGCAGGTTAGTGTTTTCAAGTAAGAGGAGCATTTTTCCAACCCTTTCAAAAGTCTTTAACTGTGAAGCTTCACAAAGATTTTCTCAGCGCTTCCCTGTGGGTTTTATTTATTTATTTTTTAATGTGGAAGTGTAGCCTCTCACTTCCAGCCTCCAAGCCGATCAATCACTTAGCTTTGCAGGTTTAAATCCGCTGCGGCAAAGCAAAATCTTGGTGCTGGCAGTGCACCAGGGTTTCACAATAGTGAGGCTGGTGACTGACAGCCGAAGGAGGACTCTGTCCGCTCCAGCTTCAGCTCCGGCGCCGGCTCAAGCCAGACAGGCCTGGAGTGCGGACCAAGGGACGGGTCTTGCTCCCAGGAGGAACCCCTTCCCCTGGTGATTGATGATAGAGAGTTAGGAGCTTTTCTGAGGCTGGGAAAGGTGGTCCTCCCAGTCACTCACTACGACGTCTTTGTCAGCAGAGAGAACTCTCCTGGTTAGTGAGTGACATAATGCAGATGGCAAGTGACAGTTTTGTTTTATTCAGCTTGATAAGTACTTATATTGCATGCAGGTGAGTTGATGCTCCCCCAGCATGCCCCTTGACTCCCACAGCTCCCCAGATGCAAACACTCATCTCCAATGCACTGGGGTTTCAGAGGCACCTCTGCGTCTTTGTAATCCATCATCAGTTTCATTGGGGATGTTTAAAGTACTGTTTGCACTATGAGCCCTGATGATACCCTTATCATCCTTTTATGGAACTGATTATGAAATAAAGATACTTGGTAGCAGTTCTAAATGTTGCTTCATTTTGCTTCTTCCTTGGAGTAAAAACGAAAAATAGATAGATAGATTTAATATAATATACTGTTTCAAGAGACTACTTCAGATAAAAAAATCTGTTTCAAAATCCTTGACTAATAATTTCCTTTGTATTCTTTCTCCCTGTTCCAGGATGCCATCTGCAGATGTTCTGAATACCTCTGACTATAGAAACTGAGTATTCCACCAGGATACTTAATTCAAGGTATTAGCTCTTGTCAGAAAGCTCTTACGTACGAATTCTGCGTTGGAAATCATAATTTGACAATGAATTGAAATAGGAAAAGTTGGAATGAGAAAAAAAGACGACGTGAATTTGCAAAATAATCAAGTGCCTAAAAAACTCCTCAACACTTGGGAAGGTTTGCTACTTCTGACTCATGTACAGCCCTTTTTCTGCCAGTTTAAATGCCAGTTCGGATTTATCTGTAGCGCTTTTTCTACAACTGTGTTTTGGTGTTTGGATTTCATTTGAGTTTCTCCCTCTCCTTTCTCTCGGACTTCTCAGACCTTCAGAAACCAGAAGCCTGAGACGTCTTGTCAATTTTGCAACATTGGACCAAAAACAATGAAGTATTCTTGCTGTGCTCTGGTTTTAACTGTCCTGGGCACAGAATTACTGGGAAGCTTGTGTTTGACAGTCAGATCCCCAAGGTTCCGAGGGCGGATACAACAGGAACGGAAAAACATTCGACCCAACATTATCCTGGTGCTCACTGACGATCAGGATGTGGAGCTGGGTGAGACAAGAATTCTTTACTTGTTAATCTCTTTTGTGCCAATGACTGACTGTGCCTCAGTCCTATAGACTGATAGGCAGAGCATTTTTGTTTCTTGCACCTTGATAGTACTGTAGCCAATGACCTAGTTTATTAAATAAACTTGTATTGATTACAGGGTATTTTGTTAAGGTTTCAACAGTACTTTAGGAAGCTTAAACTTTTAAACAGTCTGATGAGGATTCTAGGAGAATTAGGAAAGTGCAGAAGAGAGTAATGTGGCATACTGGAAGTTAAGGATTTGATTTCGTACCTTGCAAACTTTTGGTCAGGAGATTGTAGAACTGTTTGGGCAAAATTGTTTCAAAGAGTATGAGGTGATGATTGTGATTCTATGCAATGTATATGAAGATAGATATTAAATTTGTAGTTAAATTTGTATTTCAACTTGGCTCGGTCTGGTTGACTGGCTGGGCAGCTAGTGGTAGTTATTCCCCATGATGAGACTGGCAATCAACTCCATGGTGGGATCTACCACAAGCAGCTGAATAGCTAGCTGCCTTTGGCATGTGGTCTGCTTCCTGTATATAAGGAGAAGCCTTGGGAATAGTCTCTAGCTTATGGCATGCTTGGACCCTGCATGTAGCCATGGCATTGTTTAGCAGCCTGCCATGCTCTACCGACCTTGGGACTTAGAATACTTTAATTAATGCTCTGCTGTGTGGTTTGGTAACATCGAGACTGTGCCTTTTTACTTGTCAACCTTGGGTTTGTCAGCCTCAGCAGCCAGCAGCTGTCTGAGTGAAGAAACTCCTCTAGCTTCAGTGGGCTGGGAGCAGGAGGCAGAGCAGGACCCCAAGGTTGAGGGGCTTTCAACCAGCCCCTAGAGCCTGGCACTTTGAACTTGGACTTCTAAACTCCCAAACTGTAAGAGAATAAACTCCTGTTTGTTAAGGCCATCCCATCTGTGGTATATTCCTGTCGGAGTGGCACTAAGTAACTGCAAAAACGGCAAGGAGGCCACATGTTCTGACCTCCTCTAATCTCACAAGAGGAAGACAGAAGTAACCCAAGGCCTATTACTGCAAGGCCAAACATGCTGCCTCCCTCCAGCCCTTTCACCAACCGTTCCTCCCAAAGCACCCACCACCTCTCTCCTGGGTTCAGTAATTCACTGCAGTGGCCACACAGAACTCACGGATTACGGGGTTTATTAGGGAAGCACCAGGCTACAACTCAAATTCAGGAAGAACACTCAGTCTCTCTCCCAGCCCACTGTCCCTCAGCCAACAGTCTCTCACAGTCTCTTTCCCAGCAGTGCTGGTCCCTCGGTGTCTCACTCAGCGATGCGTGTCTCTTGCGTCTCTTTCCCAGCAGTGCGTGTCTCTTTCAGGGGCGCGTGTCTCTTTTAGCAGCACATCTTCCTCCACCAGCAGTCAGAGAGAGTTCTGCCTCCAGGAGGCCTCCTTTTGAGCCCGGAAGGGTGGTCAAACTAGCCAATCACAGCATCAGAACTCTAAGCATGTGAGAGAGAGTGGGAACCTCCCAGAACATTGTATTGTGCCACGCCCAACAGAAATAACCCAGGTGGGCGACTTTAAAATCAGGATCTCCTCAGTTGCTAATAGCAATTCCCACCTTGGAGTTTACAAAGACTTATGGGTAGAAAAGCCACACTAAGTAATTTACTACACCACAGTAACCAAAATAGATACTTAAGGCACTTTTAGTGGTTATTATCATTAGCAAAGGAGCTCTGGTGACACGGAGTTTAAAGCACTCAGCAGCTAATTAAAAGGTCAAAAGATCAATGGTTCTAACCCACCAGCAAGGGAGTCTTCTTCTGTAAAGATTTACAGCCTTGGAAACCCTATGAGGCAGTTCTACTGTGTCCTATAGGGTCACTGTGAGTTGGAATCAACTGTGTGGTAGTGGATTTTATAATTAGTGTGAAATACTTATTTACAGCTTCTTCTAGTAATTGAGAAGAAACTCTGATGGTGTAGTGGCTAAAGCACTCGGCTACTAACCAAAAAAGTCAGGGTGCAAACCCACCAGCCCCTCCATGAGAAAAAGACGAGGCAGTCTGCTTCTGAAAAGATTTGCAGCCTTGGACATCCTATGGGATAGTTCTACTATGTCCTATAGGGTTACTATGAATTCAGATCAACTCAATGGCAGTGGGTTTTTTCTTTTTTTCCTTCTAATAATTTCTAGATAATTAAAAAATTTTAGCAGTTTACAAACTTTTTCGTACTAACTCGCCTACTACCACCTCAGCTATGATACTTTTCTGAAGAATTAGCTCATCTGGAATAATTTTAGAGCATTTAGAAATCAGTGTTGAATCTGGTGGATCTGAATTACTCCCTTTATCTTTTGAATGGATTTCTTAATGTATTTGCCATCTTTAAAGGGCTAGCCCTACGGTGTTATCAATAGCCTGGGATCAAATTCTTATAAGGGATTCTCTCCAGCAACTCAGATAAAAAGATTGACCTTCCACTTTCTCACCACCACTCTTCATTTCCATTCCAAATCTCTAGACTTGTAGGCATCACCCAGCTGGGCTTCCCACGTCATTGAACCTGACCATCAGTAATATCTTTAGACTTCATGCTAGCAGAGTGCCCTGGCCCCAGCTCCTCTGGCTGTGGATCTTGAGGATAAAATCCTCCATGCTGGTACTTAATCAGCATGAAAGGGGACTTTGATTTCCAGTTTGAAAGTGAACCACGGAATTTCAGCAAAGATAACTCCTTGGATCCAGCTGGAAGCAAATACACCAAAAGCCACCAGAGGTGATTACAGTTGAAACTGATTTGTAGAGTCTGCTCTGTCTCCCTTAACTTTTTAAACAAAAGTATTGACTTTCAGGTGACATGCCAAAATGAAGTCTTTCGGATATGACTTCATAAAATGTCTGATTTAATACGTTATTTATGTATGCAGCTAGTGATTGCAAAGTCTTTATTTGCTTACAGAGCAAGTAAAGCGAAGTAAACACATTTGAATTAACCTTCCGTAACATCTCTCACATTCACATTTGCCCTAATTGGTGATCATCTGTTCAACTCCTCCCTTCCCATCTTGGCCCCTCCTGCTCATCCTTCACTCTGTTGCCAGTTATTTTTTAGGCTGATCAGAACACTTCTCTAAGTATAGTTACTGCTTTATTATTTAGTAACTGCTTAGCAAAATGAGCAAATTAACTATAGGAACAAGAGTAAAGTTTTGAATTGTTAAAAATAAATTTATCAATCAATTCCCTAAATTATTGTAAAGACAAGTGCTCTAGACTGAAGAGGTAGATCATAATAGATTCCTGTATTCATTTCTGGGAGTTGTGTTAGCTTTTTTAACAAAACAAGAACAGAATAGAACAAGGGGACAGTCCATGGTTTAAAATCAGGAAGAGTATGTGTCAGGATTATATCCTTTCACTATACTTAATCTGTATGCTGAGAAAATAATACAGGAAGTTGGACTATATGAAGAAGAAGGTGGCATCAATTGGAGCAAGACTCATGAACAACCTGTGATATACAGGTGACACAACCTTGCTTGCTGAAAGTGAAGCACTTTGATGGAGATCAAAGACTATAGGCTTCAGTATGGATTACAACTCAACATAAAAAAAATCCTCACAACTAAACCAATAAGCAACATCATGATAAATGGAGAAAAGATTGAAGTTGGCAGGGATTTCATTTTACTTGCATCAACAGTCAACCAACACCCATGGAAGTAGAAGTCAAGAAATCAGACGTCATATTTCACTGGGCAAATCTGCTGTAAAAGGCCTCTTTAAAAGTGTTAAGGAGCAGGAGTTCCGGTAAGATGGTGGAATAGGCAGGAAGACTGCCCAGACCCTCTTCAACAAAGAAAAGGAGAACCAATTAACACAGATACAGAAGATAATTCTGGACCCCTGAGCCTTGAAAGAAAGGATATAGAAGTGACTAAACTCCCACTAACAGAAGAATTTGCATTAAAACACCAAAAGAAACAAACGGAGCTGCAGTCTGGAAGCGATCCTGATGGCACAGACAGCTTGGATATTGCCAAGTGGTGGTAGGACCTAAGAATTAACCTAACAATTGGCCCTGCTAGCCAGGGACTGCACGAAGGATTGCTCTGGTGGCTGGGGAATAAAAGGGGAGGCAGCAAAGAGGAAGGCGGGCTGAGCTGTGGACTTTTCTCTGTCCAGAGGGCACAGTCATTTTGAAAGTTTACAAGCAGCTTGACTATTTTGGATATTTAAAGCGACAGCATTCTCCCAGATTCCAGAGATTTAAGAACAAGCTCCACTTGCCAGGAACCCCAAGGACATTCCAGACCCAGATGACTGGAAAGGTACGACATTCCCCTTGTTACTCTTATACCCCACACCCTCTTGGTGAACAGAGATGCAGCCACCCCCACTCCCATCCACTTTCTGGGCCAGCAGGAATTCCATCTCAGTCTCTGTGCTCAGATGGAGCACAGGTGCCCTGCCCCGATTTTTTTCCCCCGGTTTTTAGTTTGTTTGTTTTTAAACAACTGTTAAGGAGCTCTGGTAGGATTGTGCCTAAGGCACTTGACTGCTAACCAGAAGGCTTGCGGTTCAAATCCACCAGCCACTCCTCAGAAGGAAGATTGGGCAATCTACTTCCATAGTGATACTGCCTCAGCAACGCAAAGAGGGGTCGCTATGAGTCGGGTCAGACTCAATGGCACATAACAACAACAACATTATTATTATTATTACTTTTGTCATTTTTACTATTATTCTTTATTCTTCCCCTCCAACGTTCTGGTTTTCAACCTTTTTTTCTTTTCCCTGTTCCTGGTTGCAATTTTTTTTTTCTCCCTTGTGGTCAACCCCATTCCTTGTTTTTCTTTTTGTGTTTTTCCCATTTTTTTCTTCATTACTCTCTTTTTACACCTTTTTTCTCTTATTAACCTCTCTCCACAGATATTGCAGAGTTTCTTCTTCTTCTTCTTCTTCTTCTTTTTCTCTTTTTGGTTACTATTCCTGT